AAAACTCACAAACTGGAAGTAGTTCTGAAGGAGCACATTTCTGCTGTGTCTTGTATTAAGATTAAGAAGAATGACAAAGAGTGTGTCACAGCCAGCCTTGATGGAACCTGCATCATCTGGGATATCGGGTAAGGAGGGGGGCTGGTACTGCAAGGTGCTTACAGTGCTGGAAGTGTCCGTGTTGGGTCACTGTGTCCTATTTGGGACACCATATGGTGAGAAAGAGGGGGAAAAGAGCCTTAGAGAACTAAAATGGGGAAAGATGGGAAAGAACAATCAGTCAGGAAAGGTGGAACTTCCAACACCGGAAACTTTTCAGAGCAGTTTAGACAAGCATTGGTCCCGAGTTGTTCTGCTGTATCAGATCCAGTTCAGATTCTTGACAAGCTATTGCAGATCTCTACTTGTTCTGCACTGTGATGGGGACAAAGACTTTTTTTTGCATAGCACCTAGCAAGGAATCTGGATTAAAAATCTTTGTTTTGTGTGATAGCAGATCAAAAGTCCCGTGAGACAGCATGGTGGGGAACAGAACTGATGACCCCAATAGGTATCATGAAGCCCTGAACTCATCTAAAACCTGTTAACGTTCAAGTAGAAAGATACCTGATGTACAGCACAAGTAGAGAGAGTTCAGACAGTCAAGGTTTGGGTTTTGACCTTATTGCTTGCTCTTGTTTTGGCGCGTTTTGCAGGCGTTTTACAAGAAAACAAATGATTCTGGCCAACACATTGTTCAAATGTGTGTGTTACCATCCTGAAGAATACCAGCTGATCACCAGTGGGACAGACAGGAGGGTAAGCCAAACTACAGCAGTTCTGTTGGTAGTCACTGCAGAACAACATCTGGTTATGGACATTTCATAATCACACCAAGCTGCCATCAGAGCAAGCTGTGCCAGCTAGGGAAGCTTTCCTGGGGAAGCAGAGGCTCGTGATGAAGCTCCTGTACTTCTGAAGAAGTTTGTAGGACAGAACTGACATCTTCGTGCTGTTTATGCACAGCTGAACTTGTCTCTTGTCTGCTCTCTAGATTGGATACTGGGAAGTGTATGATGGCTCTGCTATCAGAGATTTGGAAGGCTCGCTATCGGGTTCCATTAATGGGATGGACATCACATCAGATGGGGCAAACTTTGTCACAGGTGAGTGAGTGGGTGAAACTAGAAGAGAGGAGGCCATGTTAAGACCAAGAAAAGCAAGGCAATGAAACAAAGTCTTGGTAAAATAAGAAAAAAATATAAGAGAAAATTCAGCTGCAACACAGAATAAAACAAATCGCTGCAGAAAAATACTTTGGAAGAGGCTGTGATCCAGACATGGAAGATACTATGGTTCAGTCTTGCAAGATGTAATTTAGAGGTGAAGACAGGTTCAAATGTTCCCAAGGGAGCACAGGGCTTCTCATTTGTTTTCATTGTGTTTGCAGTGCACCTGACTGCTTTTTTCCAGGTGTCCTGCTGGCACTGTTAGTTTCCTGGCACACGTGGCTCCAGGTTCCGTTCAGCCTCAGGCTCACACATTCCCAGCTGTGGTGACATCTCTTCTGGGAGCTGACTGCTAGCACAGGGCCATGCTGCTGTGCACACTGAGCTAAGCCAGCAGGCTTTATGCCAGCACCAGTTCCTTTAGGGAGCCTGGTGACACTGCTGGTGAAGGGCCTTTGGAGGACCTGCCACACTGGTAGCAATTGCTATTCAGAGCTTACAGCAAGCTGCTGGTGCAGGGCCTGAGTGGCCTAATTGCCACCACCTCTCTGCTTCAGCTGAACAGAGGTAGGCTTTGCTATAATGCTTAGGACAGCACATCCCATCCTTCTTCAATCAAAGAGTGCCCAAGTATTCTCTGCCTGTCAGCCGGGAACGAAAAGCAACACAGCAGGGCTCTGCGTAATCCTCTGTTCTCCCTTTGTGCCCAATGCAGGTGGTGACGACCACCTGGTGAAAATGTGGGACTACAACGAGGGGACGGTGACCCACATTGGAGTGGGCCATAGTGGCAACATCACCCGACTCAAGATCTGCCCTGGGAAAAAGTACATCGTGAGTGTGAGTGCCGATGGTGCCATCCTGCTCTGGAAGTACCCTGCCCCTAACGCAGGAGCTGCTGCTTCCTAAGACAGCCCTGCAAGTCCGTCCTTCTCAGAGCTGAGGTTTTTAAAGCACTTTTACTATTGGAGGAGATGCTATTTTTCTACTCTCTGGTATGAATTTACTGGATCTTCCAGATATCCTTTCTAGCACTGAACACATGGGCCTGATTTTTAGCGGGGAGGCTAATTTCATCTTCCACTTAGTTTGGAGTGGAAGTTTTCACCGCTCCTGACAACCCCAGGCTGTTACAGCACTGCTGTTTGGTTACTGCCACCTTCCCTGACAGCCCCCCAGTCTGCTCTTGTTCATATGGCCGCTCGTTTGGGTGCACTCTCTCCCTCCTCTCCTCCCAATCCCTTTCTGTCCCTTTCCTTAATGAATAACTTGTTGTGTAAATTCAGTCTTCTGTGTTCATTTTAATTTGTCCTGATTGAGGAAAAAGCCCTCAGCTCCTGCTCAGCTGTTTGACTATGAAACTCTTGAGTCAAGCTCTTAAATCAGTGTTCTCAAAGGAATTTGGGGTCTTCGGGGCTTCTTCATTTGCAGTGCCCAATTTAAAGCTCTGTTCAGAGGCCTGATTTCCAAGAGTGAGAACACAGCTATTTCCAGCAATGCCAGCTGGACGCATGCAAATTCCTGGTCTCTGCCCTAATTTTCCAAATGGGTTCCAAATATGCATGAAATACCAGATACTCATGCTGGGACAAAACACGTAGCATGCCTGGTGCTGTAACTGACAGCTCTGATGGTACAGCTTGCTCGAAGATCGGTGCAGGCAGCCGGTCTATGAAGTGATGCCAATAGAGTAAATCTTCCTTTTGCATGCACTGATGGCCTGCAGGAGTGGAGTCATAAATGAAAAGTGTTCAAAATGTTGGATTCCTAATGTTAAGACTTACAGAGACTTAAGCTAACTAATGTTTCATTTAGGTACTGTCATACCCAGATTGATTTCATTAGCTGTTTTGGTATGCAGAGGTGGATAGAAAAGTAGGATTGCTCGTCATTCTTTCTATGCCACAACAAATGTTTGCTGCTCATAGCACACCCCTCTGCTCTGGCTCTGGAGGTATCTGTGCACATGTTGCCCATCAAACACTGTGCAGCTCACAGAACCACAGAATGGCCTGGGTTTGGAAGGGACCTCAAGATCGTGAACCTCCAACCCCCCTCCCACAGGCAGGGCCACCAACCTCCACATTTATTCCTTCTGCTTGAAATATCCCTGCTCTTATTTACAGTGTCTGGAGCAAAGGAATTAAGTCATTCCTTCCTCTTTTTCTCTGGATTGGAGGCTCGTTGCTATGCAGCTGTAAACACTCCAGCAGGTTTTACAAGCTCTGCAGCAGCGCTCAGTGTGGCTTGGAAGGCAGGATCAAACCGCTGGAATGTGGGATGGACAGGCAAAACATTTGTGCTTGTGTAGGAGAATGAAAACAGAGCTGTGTGTGGAGCCAGGCAGGCAGCCCAGCAACCCACGTCCTCTCTGCCCAGCCAGGAGCAGCCTGGGTTGCTGCTGTGCCAGCCCCAGCCCACTCCAGCAGTTGATGGGGAGCCCAGCAGGGCAGGGCCTTGCCATGACAGCTTCCCAGGAGCCACAGGTCACTCTCACTTCAGCAAAGCAATTCTATTCCACCCATCATCAGTGATGAAGGACGGCCCTGTGAGCGAAGGAGATCTCTGGTGCTTAGAGTGAGCTCACTGTTGTTTCCCAGCAGCGTGGCAGAGGCAAGCAGAGCTGCTCCCATCACATCAGCAAAGCCCAGAGGTGTCAGTGCCAGCAGCTCTGTTTGCACACACGCTGCATATGCTGCTGACATCTCTCCCCTGCACTGCTGCGTTCCTGGCAGGAGCAGCAGCAGCAGCAAGGCAGAGAAGCAGCAATGCGTGGGCAAGCTACCGTGCTGCGCTGTGCTGTGACAGAGCCCTGTGCTGTGAAAATGGAGTGAAGGTGCTGTCCCTGGAGGGCAGAAGGGTACGCAGGGATGGATGCTGCAATCACAGCCCCGTGCCACCCCGAATTTTGCCATCCCCTCTGCACAGCAGGCCTTCAGCCCTATGGAAGTGCTCCCATCATCATCCTTGCCTCACTCCACCCCAACACAACAGCTCCTCAGTGTGTGTTTTCAGCACACCAGCACCTGAAATAACCTCGTAGTATTCACTGAGATCCCTCAGTGCCTCGGGGTGCTGCAGGTGTGTGGTTTTGCTGGAACACGGCAAAACTGCTGCAAGCAAAGCACAGCTTGGGAGCAACACGAAGCTCTCTGCTCAGCTCTCACGTTGGGAAGCAATGGAGCAGGGAGCAGCGTGGTGCTCCCTGGCACAGCAGCACTCGCTCACCTGCCTCAGCGCTGTTGCTCTGCCAGCGTGTTCCTAACAAGGCAGCGCCCATCCATCTTTAATGCGGGCTCTAAATAACTTAGTGCGCAATCTATAATTTAATTAGACGGATGAGAGTGAGCGAGGTGTCAGGAGGAAGTTGCACCCTCCCTGGGCAGCTGTGCCAACGCATCGCCACTCTTTCGGAGAAGAATTTTCCCCGACGCCCGCCCCTCCCGCTGCCCTCGCTTTCCCTCCGTGCTTCCCTCCCATCCACGCCCACACCGGCGGGGATCACGCAGGTACGGCCCTCCCCGCACGGACTGATCGATGGGCTGAGGCCGATTGAGGTCCAACAGAAGCCCCACGCTCCTCCCCCTCCTCCTCCTCCTTCTCCTCCTCGCCGCTTTCCCCGTCCCTTCCCCGGGTCCAGCCCGACCAGGGGAGGAGCCGCCCGCGTTCTCAAAACCGCCGGTCCCGCACCAGCGGGGGGCACCCAGCGGGCACCCGGCGGCCGCCCGGAGCCATGCTCGGCGCTACGCGCGGCGCTGCGGTGCCGGATCGGGGCGGGGGCCGCCCGGGGCCATGAGCGCGGCGTGGGGCGGCCCCGGGCGGCGGCGGCGCGGGGTCGGGGGGCGGCGGCGGACGCTGCGGGGGTTGGGGGGGCTGGGAGGGCTGGCGGGGCGGCTGCTGCGAGCCTGGGCGCGGCTGGCGGGGGGACGAGGGGATCGGGGCGCCCGGCGGCGGCGGCCGCAGCCCGAGGACGACGAGGGCGGCTTCGAGAGCGCGGGGAGAAGGGAGACGACGCGGGGCGGCGGGGCCGGGGCGGCGGGGAGCGGGGCGCGACCGCCCGGCGCGCAGGGGCTGCGGAACCACGGCAACACGTGCTTCATGAACGCCGTGGTGCAGTGCCTCAGCAACACCGCCCCGCTCGCCGAGTTCCTGGCGCTCGGACGCTACCGAGCCCGCGGGGCCCGCGCCGAGGTCACGCACCGCCTGGCGGCTCTGGTCCGCGCCCTCTGGAGCCTGGAATACACCCCGCGGCTCTCCGCCGAGTTCCAGGTACGGCCGCTCCGGGCTCCGAGTTAACCCGGGTGGGGTCGGAGCGCTCCTCGGGCAGTTCCACGGCGGGGCGGGCGGCGGTGGCATCGCGTGTGCGGGATCATCCCGGGGAGAGCCGCGCGTTGTACCGGGTTGGGAGAGCTGGGGGATCTTTCGCTAATCCCGAGGGCGAATCTGTGCTCCGTGGAGGGGGAAACTGAGGCACAGGGCGGTGCGTTCGGTGGAGATGCGGCTCCGATACCCGGTCGCAGCATCCCCGTCCCGCTGCTTTGCTGCGCCCCGCAGAGCATCGTGGCCAAACACGGCGCGCAGTTCCGCGGTAACGCGCAGCACGACGCCCTCGAGTTCCTGCTGTGGCTGCTGGACCGCATGCACGAGGACCTGGGCAGCGCCTCGCCCGCACCGGGACATCGCGCTGCCCACCAGGTGGGTGTCCCCGGGGGAGGGGGCAGGGCATCCCGGTCCTTCCCTGCTGAGCTGGGGCAGCCCCCGCGGCACCCCGCCCAGCTGGGCAGATAAAAGAGAATCTCTTCTCCGTCCAGTCCGTGTCCTGGGAGGACGGATCTGCGTGCGGAGGGCTGCAGGTTGGATCTGCTGGGGGCACTCCAGGAGGAGGAGCCCTTGGGGGATGCGGGGAGCTTTGGGGTCTTGCAGGGTGCACAGGCACCAAGCACATTGAGTTCCCTCCCCCGACCCCCCTCTGAGACAGCAGATGGGCCCTGGCCCCCAGCAGTCTGCGAGGAGGTGTCAGGCTCAGCGGGACCCAGAGCCAGCAGATGGCACCAGGAGAATCATTGTCCCTTCCAAATATTTTCAGGCTGTTCACTGTAACACTGAAAAACTCCTGCCCACAAAACCAGGCTGGTCCTTCTCTGACAGCACCTCCTGGTATTCCCCATCCCAGTGCTGGTGTGTGTTGGGTACCTTTGCCCCAAGTGCGCCCATTTCACAGGACAGTAGACTGAACGCAGTGGGACTGGGTGTATTCCCAGCCCGTGGGGACCCCACAGCAGTGCCTGAGGATGGTGTGGACCATGAAGGCCATGCTGGTGTAGGGTTCACCCCATTTGTTCTGTGTCCCCACAGTGCAGTGTGGAGCAGAGTGGTGCCAGTGGGGAGAGCTTTGTACAGAGCCACTTCCAGGCACAGTACAGGTGAGCTGTGGGCAGGATGCGGCCCTGTGGTGTTGGGAGGGGGGCTGAGCTGCGCCCAGCATTGCTGTGGGTGACACAGTACCGAGCCACGTCCCTGCATGGCTGTGCAGCAGGGTTCACAGTGAGCAGCTGCTGGCTGTGCCTCGTGCTGTGCATGCGCTGTGGGATGTGGCTGTGCCTTGTGGCCACCCAGCCCCCAGGGATGTGTCCCCGTGCCCCACATGGGTACTCAGAGCTGTGCCATTGGCCTGCCCATGTGTGCAGATCATCCCTGACGTGCCCACACTGCCGGAAGCAGAGCAATACCTTCGACCCATTCCTGTGCATCTCGCTGCCCATCCCCGTGCGCCAGACCAGGTGAGTGTGTGGCAAGGGGACGGCCAGCACCACTTGGAGCATCTGGCCCCAAAAAGGGTCATTTGTGCCGTATGGGGAGAACTCAGAGCGCAGGAGGTTGCGGTGTCCAGCAAGGAGGGATGCATGCTGGCACCACCACACCTGGGGCACACATGACATCCCCACCATGATGTCCCCAGGGCACTGAATGTGACGCTGGTGCTGCAGCGTGAGGGCGGGCGCTCGCTGCGCGTGGGGTTGGCAGTGCCACTGCTGGGCACGGCTGCAGAGCTGCGTGAGATGGTGGCACGGGAGGGGGATGTGCCCCCACAGCAGGTAATGGGGAGGCACTCAGAGCCCGTGTGCTGTGCTGTGCCTGGTGCTGAGCCTTGTTGGGCCTTGTACAATGCCACGTGCCGTGCTGGGCCATGCTGTGTGCCTTGTACCGCACTGTGTGCTACGCTGTGCGCCGTGTCGTGTACCTGCACTGTGTGCCATCTGCTGTGCTGTGCCTTGCCTCGTGCCACGCTGTGCCACGTGCTGTGTGCCATGTTCTGTGCCATCTGCTCCACCACGTGCTGCGCCATATGCGCCATGTGCTGCGCCATGTGCCATGAGCTGTGCCACACGCTGTCATGTGCTGTGTACTGTGCCCTGTGCCATGCCGTGCACCAGGTGCTGTGCCATGTGCCACGCTGTGTACTGCACCATGTGCTGTGTGCCATGTATTTGCACTGTGTGCCTTGTGCCACATCCAGAGCCATGTGCCACATGCCACAGGTGATCCTGGCCGAGGTGTCCCCGCAGGGCTTCCTGCGCTCACTGGATGACGCTGAAGAGCTGAGCACAGCTGGGCAAGAGGCACCCCTGTATGCCCTGCAGGCTCCCCCAGAGGCCCCTGCAGGTACTGGGCACTGTGTTGGGGCTGGTGGCATTGGTGGCGTCCTACTGGTGACCGCTGGGAGCCCTGTCCCCATGCCGTTGGTGGGAGGCAGGTGTGCTGCGCTGGGATTGGTGGGAGGAAGGTGTCTGCCCCGCTGGGATTGGTGGGAGGCTCCAGCCCCGCTGCTGTGATTGGTTGGAGGCAGGTGTGCTGTGCTGTGATTGGTGGCATCTGTGCCCCCTCTCCCAATGACGGGTGGGAGCTGTGCCCCGTCTGCTGTGATTGGTGGGAGGGAGGTGTGTTTTGTCGCGATTGGATGGAGGCAGATGCATGCTCTGCTGCAATTGGTGGCACCTTTCTCCTCCTCTGCTGTGATTGGTAGGAGCCTTGCCCCTCACGCCACGATTGGTGGGAGGCAGGTGTCTGTCTTGCCGTGATTGGTGGGAACCTCACCCCTCGCGCTGCGATTGGCGGAGCCGTTGGCGGGAATTTTCCCACGCCCTCCGTGTCACCCCGGTGTCCCCATCCCTCCCCCCAGGGGGTTCCCACGGGCATGGCCGCACCGCGCTCACCCTCTGCCCGCAGGCGCCCGCCCTGTGCTGCTGCTGCTGTGCCACGTGGCGGGCACCGGTCCGCACCGCGCCAGGTACCGCCCTGCCCTGCCCTGCACACGGCCCCCCTGCGTGTCCCCATGTCCCCAAACATGTCCCCACGTCCCCAGGTTCGGATCACCGCTGGTGCTGTGGGCGGAGCGCGGTGCCTCTTGGGCACAGCTGCAGCGCGACGTGCTGGCCCCGCTGCGCGGCATGATGAGGAGCACCGTGCAGGTGGGTGTCCCCATGGGTTGTCCTTGCGGGGGGCCGTGGTGACCCCACCAGTGGCCATGGTGTCCCTGTGAGCGGCGTCCCTGTTGCCCTGGTTGGCCATGGTCACTGGATGTGGCTGCAGTGTCACCCATCCCTGCCACATGGGTGCCATTGCCACCAAGGTATCCGCAGGGCTGACGGGAGCCCACAGTGAATCACACACTGCAGCCCCGTCCCTGTCCCTCTGGGTGTCCCCACCATGGGTACAAGAGCAGAACTGAGGTCACATGGGGATACTGAAGTGTGGGATAGTGCTCCGGCCCTGCTGGCACTAGCATCCCAGGGTGAGGGCGCTCCCCCTGAGGGACCTGAGGGTCCTTATGTCCCCTCACCGTGCTGTCCTGCAGGGCACGGCGCCGCTGTTCCGCATCCACGTGGCCAGGGAGCCCAGTGCCTACCTGTCCCCACAGGACCCACACCCGCTGTGCCACGCGGCCATTGACAGGTGAGGGGGGGCCACCCCACAGCCCTGCAGGGATGGGGAGGCCCCACTCCACACCTCCCTTTCCCTTTGGGGCGCTCAGGGCGCTGCAGCAGAGCCCCGCTGGCGGACCCCCCCATGTCGCTCTGACAGTGGACTGGGACATCGGCACCAAAGAGCGGTGAGTGCAGCACTGGGGGGGACCACAGCCCCGTGCTCCATCCTTGACCCCCCCCTCACCTCCCACCCTGCAGGCTTTTTGGCAGCGTGCAGCAGGAGGTGGTGCAGGATGCAGACAGCGTGCGGCTGCAGCAGGCGGCACACCAGCAGCACAGCTGCACTTTGGATGAGTGCTTCCAGCTCTACACCAAGGAGGAGCAGGTGGGTGCACCCAAAAAGCCTCACGCCCTGCGGTGCTGGGCAGGGGGAGGAGGGGGAGGGACAAAACACTCCTTTTGGGATGCTCACAGTATGTGCCTCCAGCTGGCACCGGATGATGCATGGCGCTGCCCGCACTGCCGGGTCCTGCAGCAGGGCACAGTGCAGCTCCGCCTCTGGACGCTGCCCGACATCCTCATCATCCACCTGAAGCGCTTCCGCCAGGTTGCCCAGCGCCGCCACAAGCTGAGCACGCTGGTGCGCTTCCCCTTGCGTGGGTTGGACATGGCCCCACACCTGGCCCCGGGGGGGGGACGATGGCAGAACTCCCTGCGCCCAACTCGGAGCTGCCCCCCGGATGCTCTGTATGACCTTTACGCTGTCTGCAATCACCATGGCAGCATGCAGGGCGGGCACTACACCGGTGAGCGAGGGGTGCTGTGGGGCGGGGGGCATGGCACAGCCATGGGGGGTGGGGCTAGGGGTGCCGAATGGGGGTGTGCAGTGAGATAAGGTGTGGGAGTGGAGGTCGCTGAAAGGAGAGTGCCATGGGCATGGCTTGGGGCCAGGGTTGTGCTGCATGGCAGCAGTCAGTGGGGGAAGGATGTGGGGCTGGGGTGCATGGTGAGGACATGGGGTGTGGGGTCACACGGTGCTGCAGGGGAATAGTGGGATAAAAATGTGTTGTGTGAGGGGTGCAGTGGGGAAGAGCATGGGGCCAGGGGCATTGCAAGGGGTGTGCAGTGCGTCAGAGCAGCGTGATGGGCTCCATCTTTGCTGTGGGGAGGGGAGACCCGAGGGGCCCTGCTCCCTGCTCCCCCTCCCTCACCCCTGCCCCAGCGTACTGCTGCAACTCCCTGGACGGGCGCTGGTACAGCTACGATGACAGCACAGTGGAGGGGGTGCGGGAGGACGAGGTGAGCACCCGCAGCGCCTACATCCTCTTCTACCAGCGCCGCAACGCCATCCCTGCCTGGTCGGCCAGCAGTGCTGCCAGAGGTGAGCAGTGTCACCCCCCCCCCCCATCACCACCTTGGCAGCACCTGCAGAGCAGGCACACTGTGCGTGCAGAGCACAGCCAAATGCGCGTGCACACACAGCACGATGTGCCTGCACGCAGCACTGCTGGATGCACACTCGTGTGCACTCAAGATGTGTGTGTGCTCACAGCACAGTTGCATGCAGGTACGTGCGTGCACCTGGACAGATACCTGTGCGTTGCCATCCATGAGCAGTGCAGCAGGCAGGCACACATTTGCATATAGCAGGGCTCCATGCACACACATGCTGGTTTGCATCAGCATGCACAGCATTGTGCAGATACCGCACACATCCGCATGCTTCTGTGCACACCTCTTGCATGCCTGCATATGCACACTGCTCACTGCAGCTCCTGCATTGCTGCACCACCCAGCAGCCCCCAGCCCCACTCCCTGGCACTGTGCCCCCCCATGCAGCTCCCATTCCCCACAGGCAGCAGCAGCTCGGCCCCATTGAACCACTGGGCAGCCCGGCTAGGGGGCACCAAGCAGTACAGCGCAGGATCCCAGCCTGCAGCTCCCCGCCCATCCCCACCCTGCAGCCCGGACCTTAGCACCACACAGGAGCAAGGTGAGCTCCCCCCCGGCCCTGAACCCTGCAGCAGCCCCGGTGCAACCACCCCCCACCTCCCTCATGCTCTCTCCTTGCAGGTGGCTTCGAAGCCCGGCCGCCGGTGCGGGTGGTGCAGAGCCGCAGCCTCAGTGTCAAGCTGCCACCCCCCGCCCGCTGCAGGGCCCCCCCCAGGGCTGTGCCCCTGCGGTGGTCCTTCGCCTCGCGCCCGCGGGCGGCCCCTGGGCAGCTGCTGCCATACATCCCCATGGGGCCGGTAGGTGGGGGCAGCCCCCGTGTGGAGCAGAAGGCCGTGCTGGGTGATGCTGCAGGCAGCACACAGAGTACAGAGCCCCCCCGCTGCACCCCAACACCACGCCGGGCCCACAGCGCCGGCCCCACCGGGATCTCGTGCCCCAAAAGTCCCCCGTGGAGTGGCGAGCAGGAGACAGGCCCCCCCCGGGTGCGGCAGGAGGGCACCCCTCGGGCACAGCACGACCCCCACAGCCCTGATGGGCCCATCCGGCGCTCACAGAGCTCAGCCTGCCTCCCCCCACGGCCCCCTCACCCCATGCGGCGCTCAGCATCGCTGGGCCGGGGTGCAGGTGGCACTGCGGGGATACGGGGCAGGGAGCGCACAGGAACCCTGCGGCATGGGGCCGTGCCTGAGTCCAGCTTCTGAGGAAGGGAGGGGATGGTTGTGGGGCTGAGCTGGCAGTGGGTGGCACCCAAAGCATTGTGCTGTGGGGTCGGGGCATCTCTACACTGTGGGCATCCCACACCTGGGTACCCAGAGCCTGGAGCATCGCACAGCTGCATGTATGGCTCTAGGAGCATCCAGCACCAAGAGCGTTGTGCAGGGGGGAAACTACAAACAAAGCATCCCTGTGCCGGGAGCATCCTGCACCTGGGTACCCAGCACTGGGAGTGTTGTGCCATGGGCCGTATGCAGTCAGGGCATTCCTGCATCATCAGCATCCTGGGGCTGGGTGCACGGTGCTGGGGGCATCCAGCGATGGGAGCGTTGAGCTCTGGGCTATCTGGAAGCAGGGCATCCCTGCGCCAGCAGCATCCTGCATCAGGGTATCCATCACCACCTGTGCTGGGATCATCATGCAATGGAGTGCCCAAAATCAGGGCGTGCCTGCACTATGAGCATCCTGCAGCTGGGTACCAGCCCTGGGCGCATCCCACTCAGGGATCCCTTCGCACCCGGCTGTGCTGTGCTGTCTGCACCCTCGGCCCTGTGCCTTTCAGCCCATGCCTTACTGGGAGCAAGCAGGGGGTCTGCAGGGCCGAGGGGCTGTTGGGAGAGAGAGTATTTATTCTATACAGAGAGTTCTATGCAGAGATGCTGTTTGTTTTCTACAAGCTACTGGTGCTGAGGGTTGGGCTGCGGGGCTGCTTGCACACTCAGGGCTATGCAGTGCGTGGTTCTCCCGCAGCCATTTCTATTAAAGACATGAAAGGAGCGCGCTGTGTGCTGCGTCCACCTGGGGGACGGCGCTGGGGGTTTCTTGGTGCTTTCTAGTGACTTTTCTGGGACCTTCCAGTGTGGCTGCTTTGAGGTTTGGGGGTGGCTGTGAGCCGAGCAGCCCCTGTGCTGCTTCAGTTTCCCTCTGTGGGTGATGCATTTGAAGCTGGAGGGGCACATTCTGTCCCCAAACCCGCACAGCCCCCCTCGTGGAGTGGCCCCTTCCCAAGCGCGTGCAGAGCCGCGGGAGGCGTTGAATGAAGGCAGGCTGGGGGCTGAGTTCCACAGCGATGTGCACGTTTATTCCAGCTGCTCCTGCCCCCGCCCACCCGTCCCCGTGCTGTGGGTGACGGTCAGATCGCGGCGGTGCAGAAGCAGTGGGGCCGGGGGGTCGGGGCAGTGCAGCACAGGGGGCGGAGCGGGGCCACGAAGCGTTCCCATGGACATAGTCCGTTTGTACACCAAGATCGGATGGAATGGCTCAAAATAAAACAAATATATATATATATATTTCTATATATACAAATATAATATATATATATATCTATGCCCACCAGATATATATATATATGTCCTCTCTCTGAAAAGGATAAAAGGTGACTTTGTCTTTGCATGCACAACCAAAGCCTCTGCTCCACGCCACCAACCCACGACGACAGCAAACAGGGGACGAGGCCGTGCCCCGCACCCGCCTTATTGCTATGGGGCCATCCTCATATCCCAGCCACGGGGGTACGGAGCGGGGAGACGAGACCCCGGGCTGCTGCCCCACGTCAGAAGGGAATGGGGCTCCGGTGCCTCTCCAGCCCCGCTGCCACCACGAGGACGTGCCGGGGGGGGACATAGGCACCGAGTCACAAGGCAAAGTCTGGATAAGGCGAACCGAACCCCACTACGGAGCGGCAGCACCCGGTGCGGGGCTGGGGGCCGCAAGGATGGGCGGAGGGGACGCCGTCATAGGGCCGTGCTCTCCGAGTCCTCCTCCTCCTCTGCAGGGCCCTTCAGCTGCACTCTCTGCGCGGCGTCCAGCGGGTCCCGGCGCAGCGTGGCCTCCGCGCCCCCCAGGTGAATGGACGGCAGCTCGAAGTGCAGCAGACCTGCGGCAGGCACAGACAGCGGCGTGAGGGGCTGCCGAACGCGGCGAGGGGGGCAGGTACCGTTGTGTGCCGTGATTGATGGGTGCTGCGTGCTCAGCACTGTGGCCGGAGGGGAAGTGTGGGGCTTTTGTCCCCACCTGTGTGTCCCCACACCTGGCAGCACGTTGCTGGCCTTTGCTGAGCCTGGAGAAAGCCGCCCCGAGGACAACTGCTGCTCCTGCCTGGCTCCACCAGTAGCTGCTGGCTTCAAGGCAATGCCTGCACGCAGTGCTGGGATGCAATGTCTGAGTGTGCCAATATGGGAATGCAGTGCCGGGGAAGCACTGGGTGCAATGCTGGAGTGTAATGCTGGGGTTACACCAGTGCCTGGCTGCACCAATGCAAGATGGTTGCACCAATGCAAGAAATGCTGGGGTGCAATGCCGGGGTTGCATCAGTGCTTGGATGCAATGCTGGTGTGCAGTGCCTCGCTGCACCAGCGCGGCATTGCACCAGTGCCTGGGTGCAACACTGGGGTATAATGCTGGGGTTACACCCCAGGGGTCTCTGCCTGGATGCAGTGCAGTGCCTGGGTGCACTGACGTGTGGATGGAAAGCCGGGGTGCAATGCTGAGATGGCACCCATGCTTGGATGTACTGCCATGGCGTGAGCTGCTAGAGCACCATGCCAGAATGCACCCTTGCCTGTCTGCAATGCTGAGATGCAGTGCTGGGGCAGCACTCGTGCGTGAGTGTGCTGATGGTTGGACACAATGTCTGGGTGCACCCACAGCTGGGCACAATGGGGACAACACCAGGGACACACCAGTGCTGGGCTGTGATGTCCACCAAAGCCCAACTCGCCTCCACACAGCTCCCTGTTCAGTCTGCCCTCACAGGCAGGGCTGCACGCAGAGGGCACCACCGCCATCCCAGCTGCCAGCTGGGTGACCGGGACAGTGTCCCCAAAGCATCCCCACTGCCAAAGTGTCCCCATGGGCAAGGCATCACTGTGTGATGCTGAAGCTGCACGTGGGGGCTGGCTCTTGGGGACAGCACTGCTTAGGAGATGGGGACACTCATGCTGACCCCGGTGCTGCCCCCCACACTTGGCTCTGCAGCACAGACAGCACAGGGGGGACAAAACCCAGCGCCACCAGGTTGGCACACAGTGGTTGTGGCATCAGAGCTGTCCTGGGGACCTTGCCAACCTCCTAGACACTGCCACCTTCCTGGGGACACTGTCACCTTTGTGGAGGCATTGCCACCTCCCTATGGGACATTGGCATCTTTCTGGGAACACTGCCATGTTCCCAGGGACACGGCCACCTTTTGTGAGGACACTGCCTTCTTGTCTGGGAACACTGCCACCTTCCCAGCGATGTCACAACCTTCCTGAGGACAATGCCACCTTCCCAAAGATGCTGTTACCTTTCCAGAGACATTACCACCTTCCTGAGGACAATGCCTGGACCTTCCAGGGCACAATTTCCTGGGCACACTTTCCTGGGCACATAGCCACCTTTATTGGGGCAGTGCCACCTTCCTGAGCACACTGCAACCTTCCCAGGGATCTTGTCACCTTCCCAAGGACACTGTCATCTTACCAGGAACCCTGCTGTCCTCCTAAGGACACTGCCATCTTATTGGGCACACTGCCATCTTTCCAGGGGACCATGCTACCTTCTTGAGGACCAACCTTGTCATTGTTCCATGTGCACTGCCACCTTCCCCAGGACACTGCCACCTCTCTGAGCTCACTGCCACCTTCACAGGGACCTTATGACCTTCCCAGAAACTTCACCACCTTCCCAAGGTCACCGTCACCATCCTGGACACACTGTCATCTTCCTCAAGGATGCTGCCACTTTTCCAAGCTCACTGCTGCCTCCCTGAGCACACTGTCACCTTCCCAGGGACCCTGCCACCTTTCCAATATCACTGTCACCTTCCCAAGGATGCTGCCATCTTCCTAAAGTTGCTGTCACCTTCCTGTGTATATTGCCATCTTCCTGGGCATACTGTCACCTTCCTATGGGCCTTGCCAACTTCCAAAGACATTGACACTGTCCAAGGATGCTGCCATCTTCCCAAGCTCACCGTCACTTTCTTGTGCACATTGTGACCTTCCCAAGGTCACTGTTACCTTCCTGGGCACGTTGCTTCCTTCCCAAGGACCTTGTGACCTTCCCAAGGTGGCTGTCACCTTTCTACGCACACTGTCACCTTCCCAGGGACCCCGACACCTTCCCAAGGATGCCACCACTTTTCTGAGTACATTTCCAACTTCCCAAGAACCTTGTGACCATGACAGGGACTTTGCCACCTTCCCAAGATCACTGCCCCACTCTTGATGACTGTCCCTTTCCCAAGGTGACCATCACCTTCCTCGACACATTGCCACCTTCCCAAGGACTCTGCCACCTTTCCAAGGTGACCATCACCTTCCTGGGCACATCATCACTTTCCCACGGATGCTGCCATCTTCCCAGCCACGCTGTCACCAAACCCCAGGGCGCAAACAGCCATCCTGCAGACTGGGCAGTGCCGCAGGGTCCCCACGGTGTCCCTGGGCAGCGGCCGTTCCCAAGAGCGCTCTGAGCTCCCGGCACAGCCCGGCTGCGTCCCGCGGCGGCTGGGTTACCTGTGGGCACGCTCTCCCCGGGGGCCACGGCGTCGAGCAGGGGGGGCTCCGTGGGCTGGGGGCTAGAGCCGGACGCGCTGGCCGTGGGGGGCTGCGGCGGCGGCAGCGAGGGCCTCTGCCTCGGCTTGGGGACGGGTCGAGATTTGGTTACAGAGCTGCCCAGGGGAGGAAGAGGAGGAGGAGGAGGAGACGGGGAAGGTGCGGCGGCTGGGGACAGCTGACCTGAGGCCAGGCAGTAGCCTTGAGGGTAAGCGAGTCCATAGGGCGCGGGGGTGCCTGGCGGGGTTGGGGACAAGCTGCCGGGGGACGGCTGGCCCGCCGGCGGCTCCGATGTGCCCCCTGAGGAGGGCGCCTTGGGTGGGATGGGCGCCAGCTTCTTGGAGGCTGCGGGAGAGACAGACAGACAGGAGGATGGAGAGACGGATGGACAGCGGTCAGGGGACTGGGGGGTGGCACACAGACGGGTACCCACCTTTGCGTGGGGCGCGCGGGCTCTGCTCGGCGGGGGATGGTGGTGTGGCCATGGGCTGCTGCCCACCGCCCTTCTGTGCTGTGGAGATGGGGGATGGCTCCTTGGGCTTTAGTGTGCTGTGGGGACAAGGGATGGCAGTGAGAAGCTTTGCTCCCAAAGCCCTGCACCCAAAGCCCAGCACCAGCAGCATCCTTGTGCAAAGCACGCAGCTGGCGTGCCATGGGGCCACGGTGCTCAAGTGCACCCACTGAGCTGCTGAGGCTTTAATTGCAATTTAAAGCAATTTCTTAGCACAAAGGCCATGCTTCAGCCAAGCCAACTCATGTCCAGCAGCCATCTCCCTGGAGACAGCAGGGTTAAGGGACAGCCATGGTGGCAGGGGTAGTTACCTGGCCAGGTCGGCTCCCGCAGGCATGCGGCCGCCCCCGGGGGGAGAGGGCAGCATGTGGGGCCGGGGGCTGGGGAGGAGCAGTGGGGCAGAGATGGGGAGCTGGCAGTGCCATGGGGCAAGAGAGCGTGGTGTGGGGACCAGCAGGGAGCAAGGCTTGGGGCGAGGGTGGGGGGTGAGTGAACGGGGGGAGCAGGAGGAAGAAGAGGAGGAGCGGGAGGGAGGAAGGCTCTGGCTGCAACCCGGCCAGAGGCGCAGTGCAGGTTGTGTCCAGGGCAGGGGACAGGGATGGGGACCAGGGGCCGGGGGCCCCCGCTTGTCCTCAGGGCAGGGGAGGCTGTAGCAGCAATCCGGCCAGGCGGGCGGCACACCACGCGTGCTGCAAAATGTCCAAAAAGATCACAGAACAGCAAAACGA